ATGTGTTAAGTTTACGGCATGGCCCTTGACATGGCTTTTAAAAGGTGAATGTTTTTAAAGGTGAATGTTAAGTTCATATGATGGACTATCCAGAAGTCTGTAACTCCCCATGAGCAAGATGAACTCAATGCATAGGAAAATTTCAGGCTCCACCAAACCAGTTTTCCTATAGTCACCATGAAGTTAAATGAACATGGACAACTCATATAAATAATATTGTTCCTAAGATGAGTAGAAATACTTCAATAATTAGAAGAAATGCTCAATTTATGCCAAATGAAGCAAGAAAACTTGTTATACATTCTCTTGTTTTATCTCATCTGGATTATTGTCGTATGGTATGGTCTAGTGCTGCCAGCAAAGACCTGGACAAACTGCAGATAGTTCAGAATCGAGCTGCATGATGAGCGCTCAGATGTCCTTTTAAACTTGTGTTAATGTTATGCATAAGGGACTGTCATGGATGAAAGTCAAAGAGGGGCTGATATGTAGTTTAGTTCTGTCATTGCACAAAGTCTGGACGATGCACAGACCTCAGAGTGTGTTCTCACAGCTAGAGCCCACCTGACATGGATATAACATAACATGAGCCTCTTATGCTACCGTTACTTTGTCTAAACCAAGAATTAATGCACTGAAGAAAAAAAAAAAAAAAAAAAAGATGATATTCATGATAGAAGTTGCTGTTATTTATTTTACTGTTAATGTACGGTCAATGTGTAATTTTATGATTAGAGTGGACCGCAGGAAGAGTAATCTGTGCAACTGAGGAGACTAATGGGCATCCTTAAATAAACAATATACAAATAAATAAATCAGAGAATAAAAAAAGAGATGAAATTTTAACTGAGATCCTTAAATCATTTTCGGTATTGATACTTTGCAGCTGATGTCATGTTGAACATTCCCTGGAGGTGTGACGCTAACTGTAAGAACTGTCCTATCAGAGGCTTGTTAGACTTTAATCTGATCTTTATTTTAACACTATCTCAATAGAAAGAGTTGGTTTAGTTGGAACGACAACAGATGAGCTGATTTTGTACTGTTAAACAAGTTTCTCACACATAAAATTACAGCTATCCAGCATTGCCAACAGTTTATTTGTAGTAGTTGTAGTTTGTAACTCTCAACCTTTTTTGTTGACTATCAAACACCTAAACAAGACAATGAATGCTCATATGGCTCTAGAAAATGTGTTGTTTATAGGGATGTAATAATAACTGAAATATCATGATATCGTATCGTCAAAGTTCTCACAATAATATTGTGGAGTGAGGACCATCACAATATATCAAATTACTGAAGTCTCTTTGTTTAAATTAAGAGTTACGGTGCAGCAGTACCTAAAAAATGACAGAGGGAACTACATAGACCATGATCCTTTGCTCCATTTCAGTGTAGATTACATAAAAAAACTAATCTTAGTTCTCAGTTAAGTCTTGTCAAGGCATTTTAAGAGGAGAAAGTAGCATATTAACAGTTTTGTTTGCCTCCATAAAATATCACAATAAATATCGTATTTTGAGATGTATATCGTGAAAATATTGTATCGACAGATTTGGATATTGTTACATCACTAATCGTGAGCCTCCCCACCATATCGTAAGCTTTTCTATGATATCACAATAAGTATTGTACCATGAGATTCATACCGTGACAATATCATAGAGACTTGGATATCGTTACACCCCTATCTTAAAACTTTTTGGCTGTCTTTGCTAATGTGTGCATTATGTCACCATGGTAACTACATGATAACTAGCATTCCACTATAGAAATGCATTTAGAACAAAGTATCAGTATTAGTATCTGTATCTTATAAGGTGAAAGGTTATAGGAGCAGTGAGTTCCAGAGGGTTGTGCGTTAAGGTGGTGCCAGGTTTTTGAGTGTACCATGTTTGAATCAAATCTTGATCCTGTCATTTTTAATAGTCATCATAATCATCTTGAGTCTTTTTAGTCAAGAGGTCTAAAGCCAATCATCAGTCTGAAAATACATGCCAGTTTTTTCAGTATGATTCTGTTTTATTTAAAAGTCCTGCATTGTGCAAAATTGGCTCTTGTGAGTTTTAAGTCATGTTACAATGTTGTTACCTCATCCAACACATACTCTGAGTTGTGTTTTGTTTCATTTGTCTGTGAAATCCTTTATTATTTGTCTTGTGATGTCATGAAGCGGTAGTTTTCAAGGTAACCTCTACCTTTTTACCTTTAATTCAGTAGATTGACGATTCCAAGGTTGAAATTATCCAAATGATTCTAGTGAAGGTATATGGATGGAGTTTAAAAAGATAGTTGAACACTACCTGTATTACCACATGACATCATAAGGTGGAGTGTTTTCAGTTTGGCAGCAGAACTCTAAATACTTCATATGCAGGGTTTGTGTGAGAAACAAAAGACCAGAAGATCAGAAAATAGTTTAATATGGGCCCTAATAAAACCATAAAGCAAACAAAAATACTAAATAATAAAAAATAATTTAGCCAGCCCATATAGATAATTAATCCAGGGAAACAACTGATTTCTTCTTTCACATTACATTTTCTTATAATATAATCATAGACCTTAATTAACACAGTCAGATTTATAGAAAAACAAAAGAAAAATATCAAAAAAATTATTTGAGCTCTTGAGGTTAACACTCACTTGTTTTCCTTTTACTATAATCTGTTTTGTCAGTTAGGCACTTTGCATTGCACCTCTGCTGCTAATAAGAATTTACAGGCTCCAACACGACTGTGAAGGTGAACTGGCCACCCGTATAAATGAACTCTTATAAAGTTTGGTTTTATGGCAGTCAAAATAAGTGTCTTGGCTCACGGATGGGTTCCTAAACTTTAAACCACATATGAACTATACATACTTCTGCGTTCTGGCAAACTAACTATTCTGTGATTGACAGTTTCCTGTGTTGGCTGTAATGACAATGCTCTTTTCAAGTGACATTAATGGACAAATCTCCCCCAAACCTATTCACACAATTTCTGACACGTTTCTGACATTTCTGACAGAAGACAAAAGATGATGACTTTGGCAGCAGCTAAACTCCCTTCAATTCTTACAACTCCCACAACAACAAATCGGTCATTTTCTGTGCAAAGAAACGTATTTCCAGACAGATAATTAATCTTCTAACTGTTCAAAAACTGCCTTGTCTCCTACTTGAGTTACTTAAATATCTTGCCCTTACAGTACACTCATTTATAAAATGTAGCAATCCATCTTGGGTGTTGATTTCTTCTTAGATTAAACTGCTGAAATGGAAGTGCGTTAGCTGCAGCCAGTGTTAAGGTCAATTGTTACCTCTTTCTTCAGGCTGCCTATGGGAGGTACATTACAAGGTAATACAGGGTCAATGTCTGCATTCAGAAATGTCCTTGAATGGCCCTACACCACGTCTTAGAATGGAGAGTTATGGGTAATTTTGCATGCACAATTAAAAACTAAAATGTTGACACTAGAAATGCTTCTAAATGTATTTGGAAATTTGGAAATTAGTCAATTCAAAAGGGACTTTGTTTTACAGTTATTCAGTTCCATTTCTTCTTTCATTTATTTACAGGGCCAAACATGTAATCACAAACAGCAGTGGAAGATATAAGATAAGACAGATACTTACAATAACTTGATGATATATTTTTACTTCAAAATTCATAGCCACAAGCAAAACTAGCCAGTGTTGTACCGCAATGTCTGTTAGCTTTATCACTTCCACTGTAAGTGCAAAAGACTTGTGAATCCAGCTACTAGTCAAGATGCATCTGTCTCAACTTACTATTTGTCATTCACCCCCATTTAATTCAATTGTAATACAATGTTTTGAAATTTATTTGTTTTGTAGTGTGGTTTACAGAAATTGTTTTATTGGAATATTTGTTGCAAGCTTCGAAAGTCAAAATGAAATCTGGAGACAATCTGGACCGCAGTATTTGGCAGTCTGAGCGAGTCCTCTGCCTAACAGTTGAGTCATTACTGTCTGTGTGTCTACAGAGCTGAGCCAAATACAGTAACAGTAAAAGTACACTGTATGCACCTGTCTGCTCTTATCTGTGCTGTGCTACTATTATCACAACTAGTTAAATCAGAGGCACCATGCATGAACTGTGATTGCTAATTTCCTTGTCCAGATAAAGTTTTTCTTCATTTTTTAGGCTACTTTTTACTTTATTCTATATAAAAATGTGCTGCAGTATTGAGTTGTTTTTTTTCTTGCATCCATGCATTTTAACTCTTTGTCATAATTTTGTATTCCTTGCTGATAAAAGATACAGTTTTTGATTGCCCAAAGAAAAGTGAATGCCCCAACAGTGAAGTCAATAACCTTTAATTCGATCTTCAAAGAGCTTGCCTATTCTATTCTATTCTATTCTATATCTTTACAACATCACTCCATTTTTTTTTTCTTTTTTAATCCATTTAAATATTTCATAAATATGGAATTTCACTAAATGTCAGCAGTCTCTAGGCACTTCAGGCACCTTTTGCTGCATACATTTTTACGGGTGAGTTGTTGCATGAATATGAAATACTTCTAAGCGTACACTGCTTATGTATACTCTCTATATTTTTGTTGACATAGCATTTTGACTGTGGGGTGTCTTGTATTGTGCACGCTTAAACAGTGGGAGCTGGGCATTTGGGCTTTGGTGCCAGGGCAGACTGTGCATTCATGAATATTGGAGAGACTTTGTAACATGACAGACGGGCATCACCAGACCAACTGCAGGAGAGAGCATACTGTCTATGGACATTGAATAGAAGCATTTCATTACTTTAATCTGTAAGGTTTCATGATAAAGATTTCATGATATAGATTTTATGGCTTCTGTATCCAGGGTAAATATTATTTTTGTGAATTTCTGACCAGGACTTCAAAGCATGATCTAAAAATGTTCCCAAAAGCTAAAGTCCTTTCTTGTAGGAATGATCTGATAATGGGATTTATGGCAAAATCATAAAACTACTCTGACAGGCTATTTCTCCTCGTATTTTCCCAGGTTCTCTCCGGACTGAAAGCTTAAAGGCATCCGATGTTCTACCCATCCTGAAGGAGAAAGTGGCCTTTGTTTCAGGTGAGTGCATTTGCAGGTCACCAGGCTTTAATGAGGTTAGGAGGACAGTTCCCATTCAAAGAGTCGTCCAAATTACAGTGGGACAGACTGTGTATCTATAAAATACACACACGCTGACCTAAAATAGACTATGGGATCATTGTCTGAAACCAAACGTGATCATTTAAAGGGCTATATTTAGTGGTACCATCATTTTGCCTTTGCTTGTGGAGAGGTTATTGTCAGAAAAAAGTGGAAGTATGTCTTTGAAGGTGACTTGTCTTAAAAGCACTATAAAAATCCACATTTCTGAAGGTACATAAAGTATAGGAGTATATTGTAGGTGGGTTTGGCTACCACAAAACTCAGTTGTCTTTGGTTTTAAAAGAAATGGTTCTTCATCCTTGTTGATTAGCAAAAGCAAATTAAAGATGCATTATGCAACTTTTCTGGTGGAATGCCTGCTACTTGCTTGTCTCCATGTAGATGTTGGTTTGCCAGAAATGTTATGACATAAGACTTGGACACAAGGAGGTGATGAAACCAAGCTAAAATACAGGTCAGATCTGTGGAGACATTAGCCCACTCACAGTAAGAATCCATATTTTTGAAGGGTTTGGCAATAAAAGCACCTGCAATTGAATAATAACTGCAAGAAGAGACAAGCAAGTGATGGAGCTTCCATCAGAAAAGTACTTATTTCTAATTTTCTGTCTTGTAGTCATAAAGTAGTTCTTAGAAGACTTGAACTATGCTCCTTCTGGTTTCAGAGTAAACAAATACACTTACTTTACAGTTACATATACAGTACTTGCTCTTCTAAAGTATTTAATGTATCTATCACCCATGGACGGTACAGACAGCTGGCAAAGTACTGCTGTCTCCGGTGTACAGTATAGCGTAGCATCTTGAACTTACATTTTCATAAAGCATGACTGCAGAAGAGATTACTGTTGTGTAGCGGGCCACCCTGAGGAACGAGACCCAGTCCTGAGTCACAAAACAGGTCTGCACTCTCATCACAGCCTCTTCACACTGTCGACGGGCTGATGTGGACTTCACTGCTCTGGTAGACACTTCATAAGAGAGTGCCAAAACAAGCCCTTAAAGTGGTTTCAGCTCCATTGGACTTCCTGTAACTCAAACCATGCGTGCGATAAGAAAGTGAACTTGGCTTCTGGACAAGTACATAAGTGTGACATTAGAACCATTTTATGACTATATTATGAAGTAAAATATTATGAATCTCAAGGTGCTAGCCAATAATAAATAAATGCTTCAGCACACAAAGCATCAAAAAACGATTAATATATTTGATGTTTGTGTTGAATACAATATTCCAGTGAAATTATTCTAGGTTAACTAAAGAAAGACATGCCCTGTGCATCAATTTATATTAGCTCTCAAAACTATCTTGATGATTTGACCAAATATGACACATAGTGGACTTGTAAGTCAAGAAGAGTACTAGTAAACTACATATTTGTATGTAAATATCTCCAGTCCCATGCATTTTCCTTTTTGTTGTGGTCAGTGTAAATCTACATCATCACAATCAAATAATTAGTTGACTAATACAAATTTTGGTTGGCTCAAAACCCTTTAATCAGCTAAATGACTAAAAGTTTATAGCCCTGTTATCTTTGTTTAACTCTGCCTTTTCTCTTTTTTATATTCCATTAAATTTGGCTTTAAAAATATCTCTTATAATGCAATTTTATTCACAACTTATTTGATTATTGGACATTGTAAAATCTTCACCAGATAAACTGAAGCCGATCTGCTGAAATAATGAGAGTGTGAGTTTAAGCCAAAAGTCTGTCATCGAGATTCCTCCTCCACATTACTGCAGAACACCCCCTCCACCATCACACTCACTTTTATAAACAATGTGATTTGTGTTTCTTACATGACTCTAACCAAAACATCTCCAGTCACATTATCCATTACACACAGAGGAAGAGGGAGAGTATGTTTATGGTCTGAGTGGAGGGGGTAAAGATACCAGCCACATTAGACTAAAATATGGTGAGGATTATCTCTCATAAGATTTAGTTTGTGGCTTTATTCTGATAACTGCTCTAGTGTCAAGTTAAGACAATTTACTTGATCTTCTGTGGTTGTTTTCCCAGCAATAAACAAGCAGTATCTTGCTGAAGGAGCACTGTGTATACTAAATGATTCCAAAAACAAAGTAGAAAATTCAGATCACAATATTGATCTACAAATTGTCAATTCATTGATCATTATATTGTATTTCTCTTTCAACTTTTTTCAAAATAACCTGGCATTAGGCCTGTCACGATAATTACTATATTGACATATCGTTCAAAATATGTTAGGTGGAACAATATTTTTGGGGTCAGTAATTATCGTAGATATTTCTTTGTACTAGTAGGGAACCTTTTGTTAATTATCTGTACTATGAAAATAATTGAGCTGTGGAGGATGGAATAAATAACTTATATGACTCATTATACATTCAAACTAAGTATTAAATTTTGCTATTTCTTTACAGCAGTTTGTGTTTTTAACAATATTAGACATTTAGATTTGTCTTCAGGGGGATGATTCTACTTTAAACATTTTGTGTCAATGGCATAAATTAGTTTCAGTATTATTGTTTATTGTCTATATTTTCTTCAGCAATATATTGTATTTCAAATGTTTTTATCTTGACAGACCTACTACATAGCTTCTTTTAACAATAGCAGGCCAGCAAAAGGAGTATTGTGGGTTTTTATGATTGAATTACTGTATATACTCAGCTAGAGCTAAAAAATAATGTCTACAGGTGGTCGAGATAAGAGAGGTGGACCAATCCTGACATTTCCTGCCAGAAGTAACCACGACCGAATAAAACATGAGGACCTGAGGAGGCTGGTGACCTACCTGTCGACTGTGCCCAGGTACAGAGCCCATTTTCTTACACAAAAACACTTTTATTTACAACTCACCTCATTCACATTACACCCACCCTTACATTTAACCTCTCTTTTACGCTGGCTGCCCAAACCACTTTCTGAATGACACGAGATGAATCTAAAAACACTGAAGTTCAGGGTGAAGAGCGTGTGGAGTGGCTCAGGGTTGTCCACATGGTGAAATCAAACGCCCTTTTCTGCTCCACACTGCAGCACAGGGGGAGCAGCATTTCATTAGCATCAGCATGAAAGGTGCAGTGTGTGCAGTGGACAGCGGCTAGTCTGTCCACGTCAATGTTAAAACACGTCTCTCTGCTGCTGCCTCACACTGTGGGGATGGACCAGTGCACAGGAGGTTTTCACAAGACCTTTTTGCTTCACACTGAAATCTTGACAAGCTACAATCTGTGTAAAATACAAAAAATTGGTTTAAAGTGATGTCTCAGAAATCACTTTTTTATCAGTGCTTTGTTGACAGTACGGAACCAACAAACGGCACTGTGTTGTGGCACTGATAATATTGATTTATTGGGGAAAAATATATTATCATATTATGTTTGAATGCAAACATTGTACATCAAACACTGTATGCTGCCATGGTACACTGTATTGTATTGTGCTTAAAATGCTTACAGTTCATTTTAAACATAGCCTAACTAATGAATAAACTCTCAAATATGTGATTGGAAATATGTTAAAAAATAATAAAAATTAAAGTTATGTCACTATTTTTGGAGCTGAGATCGGAATTTCAATTATATTGTGATTCATGTAGTTACTAGTTAGTTTATATATTTATCCTCCATAAAGAGATAACTAAAGCCACCTGCTGCTTCTGAGAGTTCACATTTCACTGTGATTGGTCAGATCTACATGTCACTCTCTCAAAGCTTGATAGAGGCTAACAAATATAAGAAGTGGGTGAGGAAAAGTCTCTGTCTTTGGGCAAAAAGATGCCCAATAGAAAACCACTGCATGTAACTATTTTTATCACCTTGTAATCCAGCCCTAGTCTGAACTCTATCTCACTAACTTAATGTGATTTTCCTAATGGTAAGGAAAACATATTAGTGCCAGCGCCAGAAAGCATTAATCACTACACTAAAGTATACTTTCTAAATATCTAAAATGTCCTTACAGCCACTACATTGCATTTAAAAGCATCCTCATTACATGCATGAAGGGACTGTGCATGTTTATGGATTTTCCTACCTGAGCACATCTCAGTGTGATTAAGGAATCCAGCCCAAAATCAGGTCCATTATCCGGACGCCATCAGTCCTGCTCTGGTGCCTCCCGCTAATCGAAGTGCTGTTTCCATGGAGATGTTTGCTCTTCCCAATGGCAGGTTATAATGAATGTGCCGATGTACCGTTTATATTAATAGAAACTGGGAGGGTGCAGGTAATTACAGAGTGTTTTTCTGCTCTCCAATCAGCTGCAGCTGGATGTACGGCCTTTCGGAAAGCAAAAGCCATTGTTTTGTTTTTGATATCCTGGCTTAATTCTATGCTGCAGCAATTATGGGAGTTGTTGTTGGAGAACTTGTTCTTGGCAAAACTGGCACAGACCTCCCACTGGAACAAGTGACATTCCAACACATTTTATTTCTGTTCATTTAGATTATTTGTGTTATATTGATTCAGTTATGTCACTTTAAACTGTTTCAAAAAAAGAAAAATTATCATTGAGGCCTACAGTTTTTGTTCCTTCAAGTTAATTTCACAGGGATTTCATCACCTCAGGAACTGTTGGGTATCTAGTCCTTTTTGGAAATATTAGTGGGCATTTATTGACTTATTTTTGGCCACTATTGCTTCTTAAAATGAATAACTGACTCCATCATGATTAATCTAAAAGTACTAATGTTATAATATTTATTGTCCCCATTGTTGTGTTTTGCAGTGAGGATGTGTGCAAGCGAGGGTTCACTGTAATCATCGACATGCGTGGCTCTAAGTGGGAGCTGATCAAGCCTCTGCTGAAGACTCTGCAGGAGTCCTTCCCTGCAGAGATCTGTGTGGCTCTCATCATCAAACCAGACAACTTCTGGCAGAAACAGAAGACCAACTTTGGCAGCGCTAAGTTCTCCTTTGAGGTTTGTGGCCTTTAGTAATAGTTTAGACTAGACCTGGAGACAGCTGGAGTAATAAGTTTTAATATTATCTTGAGTCTCATATAAAACTGTATTTGATTTCATCTAGATCATAAGCATAAGTGTCTGTATTTGGTTTTGGCTGAATCATTTATGCATTGCACTGAAAAAATATTCACAGATTTTTTTCAAATGAGAACAACAGCAACCTGTTTTTAGTCCTGTCACAATAAATTTGAATGTACAATAGCATTAAAAAACTGAAGAATTAAACACTGAAGTAGTTAGACTCCATAATGGCTCACAGGAGTTACTTATTTGATCCTCAACAGGTCAAATTTAACCATGCTACAAAAATAAAAAGGTTCTCACTAGAACAAACTAGAAAAGATGCATGTGATAAATATTAAGCCAGAAAACATATTGTTCCAACTGTCATTTACTGAATGATGAATAAGCATTGTAAATATCATGACAAGCTTCAAATTTTCATATTCTGTACCCTTCTGCTTTTCTTAGACCTGGAACCTAAATTCTCTGTTAAAATAGTTTGTGTTTGTTTCTGATTTGTTTGTTTCTGAACCAAAATAAAGCTGATTTTGGTTCAGTTCAATTGTTATTTTCTGTTTGAGATTAGTCATTTACATTATCCTGATTTTAATTCACATTTACAGTGTCTTATCACAATAGCATGTTTAAAAAATTTATTTTATTTATATTTAAAATATTTGTGGCTTTGTCCCTCAGACCAGTATGGTGTCAGTAGAGGGCTTAGCTAAACTGGTGGACCCCTCTCAGCTGACAGACGACTTCGAAGGCTCGCTGGACTATAACCACGATGAGTGGATAGACTTGAGAGTGTCTCTTGAAGAGTTTATGTCCAATGCGGTTCATCTTCTATCCCGACTCGAGGATCTGCAGGTTAGGAGATGTTGGGAGATTTAATTCAGTAATATCATGTACTACATCTAGACTTATTTATAGTAGACCTAATGTAATTTCACTGTGTATTTTAGGAGCTTCAGTCAAAGAAGGAATTTCCGGCAGATGTGGAGGGATCTCGACGGCTGATAGAGGAACACACACAACTGAAAAAGAAGGTGAGACAACTTCTGTTCATCTTTACATAAAGATGATCTAGTTCTGTGTTGCTCAAACAGTGATAAGATAATCCTTTAGTGTCTCCCATGAGAGAAAATTGTCTTGGGAGAGGGGATCACATGTTTAACACAAAGAGAGGACAACACAGCAACATAAGCACCATACAAATATCCACCATAGAATATAAATAAATAAGGGACCAAGTATGACCATGAGTGATACACCAACAGGACCTTTAAGTTAGGCTTTGCAGGCAAGCCTTTCTCAATCTTGTATTGTAATTCTATTAATAACTTCACACTCCCTAAGCCTATATGCAGTTTTGATTGTATTACATTGATACATTTACAACCAGTGGTACTCGGGCTGCCTCTGATGATCTCTGGGCTTTGTGCAGTTTGTTTTATTTACAGATAAATCTGGTTTGTCCTGGGTTAATCTAATTTAAACCAAGTTCAGTCCTAATTTAATCTTGACTGTTTAAGGTTTGATCTGGTGGTACTCAAAAAGCTGAATATCATCTTTGTTTGAATACCCCTGATCTAACCTGCAATGTGAAATCCTTGACCAACAACTAATAATATAGACATTCTTAGCCTTGTGACTGTCTTTTATATGTTACAGTTTAAATGCCAGCCATTGCAACCTTAAAATAATACCTGCTGCTTAATATTCACATTCAGGGCAGTCTCATGTTTTAACATTTTTGTGTGTTTGTTTTGTTTGTCATTCAGGTGCTGAAGGCTCCAGTGGAGGAACTGGACCGTGAAGGCCAGAGACTATTGCAGTGTATTCGATCCAGTGATGGGTTCTCAGGGAGAAACTGTATCTCTGGCTCTGCTGACTTCCAGAGTCTGGTTCCTAAGGTATTGCAATGATAATAAAATAAATATTGTCCATTCACAAAGAGCACAGGAAATGAAAGAATTCTAAAGGCCATGTTTAGAGATAAAACTTTATCTCTAAACATGGCCTGTTCCTTAACTGGGTTACTTAAAATTACCACTTAGAGCTGTTTAATTAGTCAGTGGCTGCAGATTGGCACCCTGGCACCATGCTTTTTAGGGTGTATTTTAATAGGTTTGCTGCTGTGACTGTTACGACTCAGTACCAAAGTCAAAGTAGGCACCAAGATGTAGACTATGAATAGGTAGACTATGGGAACAGTTTCGTGCAAGTAAGACTCTCCCCTGATAACAACACATTTTATACTGTGGTTAGTCCAGCACAGTTAACACCATATGTAGCCCTTGACATTAAGCATTAGTCTCCATATTACTGCATGTAGTGAGCAGTCCAGTTGTTGTTCACCTTGCTTTGCCCCACAGCTTCTTAGCATCCCTCATTAGCACTAATGAGAAGCACTCTCTGCATGTTAGCTTGTCAGGGCCTCTGCGGGGCACAGTCATCCTCAAGACACACACCAAGTCCTGTGCATCTAAACCAGTACTGCACATTACACTGCATCAAAACTGTTATATGACCCAAAGCCAACTGTATAGAATTTTAAATAATCATAAAATAAATTAATACAAGTTTTCATATTTTCAAGTGTATCATGGTATCTAGTTGTACTTTCTTTTGGACTTGACAAACAGCCTATATGGAATTTTTGTTGCTGTAAATATGAATCAAAGAAAAAGTATAATTTAAAAAAATTACAATTTATGGTCTCAAAAATAATTGTCTTGTGTTCTCAGGTGGCCAGTCTTCTCGATAAGCTTCACTCTACACGGCAGCACCTTCACCAAATGTGGCACGCCCGTAAACTCAAGTTAGACCAGTGCTTTCAGCTACGGCTCTTTGAACAGGATGCAGAAAAGGTGAGTGTGGAGTTGCAATGGTAGTAATCACAGCAGTAACGTGAAGAATGGTAAATAAGCAAGGCACATGTAAGCAGGCTGTTGTGATGGCATTATAAAGGTTTTGTTAAATTATTCAGTTGCCCTGTAGCTCTGAGGCTTTCACTGTGAGAGAGAAGTGGAGCCTGGTGAGGTCACGTTGACTGTTAAAAGCTGTAATAAATACAAGACATCTGCAGCTCATGTTTGTGTTTCGCAGTTGATTATTGTTTATCTGACAGCATGGGGCCTGAAATGATGATCATACAGATAGTGTACACAAAACACATGCTGTGATAAGTTAGAGCGTTCTGTTTTCAGTTTTTAACATGTCTCTGCAACAAACCATATGAACAACAAGCATATGCCTCTGTTTAGAACAATTCTCATCTATTAACCTCCTAGCTGTTTAAACTTTACATCTTTTCTTTATACATGTCCCAAGAATTTCAATGTAGACTTTATTTCCAAAACACAAATTGTGAACTGTCCTCTGACTTTGGGAGATAACATACATTGTAACTTATGAACTTGGCCTTGTTACAAGTTCTAACACAGATTTGCGCAAAGGCAATGCCGCACGTTTTTTAAGATATTTTAAAGCAATAAAAACCATGGCATTGAATGAATGTAAGATAGATTTAGGTAGGTTTAATGCAATTCTGTGGAACATTCCAGGCAATGCAATAACTTCTTCACCTCCAAATTGTAGTTTTAAAAAATGTAACTTAAGGTTAAAATATATAAAAAAAATAATATCTTGTGTTACACCAAGGTAATTATGCAAACAAGATATTGTAGTAATAAGTATATATAAAAACATTTTTGTAAATTGTTGCATAATATATAGGACATGTATCAAATTCATTGGGAAAAAAAAACACACACACATATTTTCACAATATTATGATATTTTGTACTTTGGTCTCACTTTTTTACATTGTATATATCAAATGTTTTCTTGGCAGTTATAGTGCATTCATTGTATAAACAGAAAAACCATAAGTGGTTAAGCTGGTGGAAAGACAGCCTTGCATCAGTTAAGTGATTTGCTGTGGTTGTGAGTAAATGTTTGAATTCCTTTCACAATTATCATACCAGCATCTAAAAAAGCATGGGACAAATATGTAGGTTTATCATGGTTTGAATTTAAATACTAGGGCAACTGTGAATGGAGAACTGGTGGCCTAATTATGTTTACAATTTCATGTTTTATTTCAAGAAAAAAACAAACAATAGCTTTTGATACAATCAAGTTTGTCACTAAAGTTGTGTTGCTGTCTACCTATTTTGTTTCTTTTTTTCCAGTTTAAAAGTCCACATGCAGGAGCTCTAAATATTTATGGTAGCATAAGCTGCAAGAAAATGAGTTTTGTCCACATCAAATATTGTCACGATAGGGAAATGCGTGGGTGTATAAATGATTTAACAATGTGGAAAACAATCAGAGGCCAAGCCAAAGAAATAATTAGGTTTGACAATGTTTAACTATAATTTCTCAAATAAATGTTTGTTTTACACACTATATTCACATTCTGCAATACCTATGGGAGCCTCACACAGACTTACTAGTGACTGATGTTTTATGTATTGTGCTGTTTTTATGAGGTGATGAGCCAAATATGAATTTCTTCCACAACAGGCAATTAAGAGATTCTACTCTAGTATCTACTTAATATAGTGTTAACAGTATTTATATTACAACTGTATAGATAAACTGCAAAATGAAAAAAAAAAAAGTTAATTTGTATTTTTTGATCATGAGTTTTTAGACATTGTGCTTATTTCTTTTTGTTGTAGATGTTTGACTGGATCAGCCACAATAAGGAGGTGTTTCTTCAGAGTCACACAGAAATCGGTCGCGGATATCAGCACGCGGTGGAGCTGCAAACGCAACACAATCACTTTGCGATGAACTCCATGGTAACGAAAGTCTTTGTCTTTGGTACTGTACATGTATCATTATCTGCCTTTTGTAGATGACTTGTTGAAGTTTTTGATATGATTAAATGTAAACAAAATAACTGTACATATTTGTACATATAGGTGTTTATAATGATTCAATCATGTTAAGTGTTTTTGTAATTGTCAATAATTTGATTTGAACATAACTCTGATTTGTGTGTCTGCCTGTTCCATTTACAGGGATCAGTCTTTGTGAGCAAATACAATATTTTTAAAGCAATTTCTGTACTTTCTCCTAGAATGCCTACGTAAACATCAATAGGATTATGTCAGTGGCCAGTCGTTTGGCCGAGGCTGGTCACTACGCTTCGACTCAGATCAAGCAGATCTCAGGTCAACTGGACCAGGACTGGAAGAGTTTTGCTGCTGCTCTGGATGAACGCTCCACCATCCTTGCCATGTCCTCTGTCTTTCACCAAAAAGCAGAGCAAGTGAGATGCCATTTTGTTTATACTGTTTTTCTGATTAAACACACTACACTTACCAATAAACAGCAACATTTTTAACAGTTATTATAAAAGGTTTCATTGTTGATGGTATAATAGAGTTTACAATTAATTAGTGATATTAAGAAATGCTTAAATTGTTTACATATGCTGTTCACTATTATGGCCAAAGGGTCTCAGCACTGTGAGATTGATTCTGACAGTTTGCTGAATGCCTCTCCATTCTTTTACCCTTGTATCATTGCATCACTGTTGTGCTCAATTTCAATCACTTGTATGAAATGAGTCCGCTGTCACTCAGTGCTAAACCATAAATCATTTTTTATTAACTAGAAATGATGAACAACATAAATAATCTGCATAATCAGCATTTAAAATGGATTTTGTTTGAAACCAAACTTATTATCAGAGAGCAATGGGTGCACAGTTCATTGGGAACACAGACTCTTCTTTAGGCTCTAGTTCAGCACATGTTGCGTAATCAGACATTTTAGTCTGTCATTTTATTTAATTGATCAAACAGTTCTGCTGCCACTTCTTGGAAGGTTGACATGGCAACAGATGGAGCTGGTTTGATTCCTGCTGAGCCCTTGACATTAACTACATGTATACACTGCCAGTGAACAAGAAAAATGAAAGCTTTGATTGAACATAACATGAGAATTATTTATTTTTAATGGCTTGTTTTGTAATTGTTGTAATCATGAAGTGCATTGCCTTGTATATTTATCCCATTTGTTTAGTTCCTGTCTGAGGTGGATGCCTGGTGCAAAGTGTGCAGTGAAGGAGGCTTGCCCACTGAGATGCAGGAACTAGAACTGGCCATTCACCGCCACCAGAGTCTCTATGAGCAGGTTACTCAGGCCTATACTGAGGTAAGCCCTAAATCTGTCATAACAACAGGATGTGTACAAATGGAGGGCAAGGCCCTATATAACTCCATAAGAGATGTACTGTTTTTGAAAGAAATATCCTTATTTTCCACAAATGTGAATATTTTTTGTTTAATGGCTTCACAAAATTTCCATATTAATCTTATGGCTTTAAGTTCTTTCAACTGACAATAATCACAGCTATGAGGTTGAATAAACGCACCTCTTTCTCAAGCTACCGTGAAAAAGTATGTTACTATTGTTTATTTTTATGATGACAGAGAACAGAGATATTAACCATAAATAGAATTCAGGCTCGTCCTTCAGCTCAGTTTTAAACTACACATTTTAGAATTTTACCTTATTGCGTGAAAACACCCTATTAATATATTAGCTTATTGTTTTATCAATGATAGATGGAACGATCCTTCTTGGTATATATAATATATATTGTGGATATTTTGTGTCAGTGGATAATTTATCATCATTACTGTATTCAGAAATACAGTGTAGTACAGTAATACAAGTGTAGTAAACTTACATAAAATTCTTGCACACTTTTTCAATTCATTTTTATCTGATCCATATTCACACAAGCAAACATATGGAAATACATCTCAGTTTCAGACTGTGCTGGTTGAACTTGGCAGGAGAGCCACTTTTCCTGTTAACCTGACACACACCAGAAATGCTTTTATATGTACTCTGGATCTGAAATGTTGTTTTTATGTGGTGAGAATATTTTGCAGCACTGTTGTAGACATCTAGACAGAAATCCAATACTTTTGCCATAGCCTTTTCTTTTCTACTATACATTGAAGTGTTTAAGACAATTATATGTTCAGTACTATACATACACTGTAAGCCAAATTATAGAAAATGTTGCAGTGATGTGGTGCGTAGTTACAGGCGAGGCTTGCAAACAAAGCAGCGTGATTTGGTTGTTTGGTATATTCTTATTTTAACCTGTTTATTTATGTAGGTGAGTCAGGATGGTAAAGCCCTGCTGGACGTTCTCCAAAGGCCCCTGAGTCCTGGCAACTCCGAGTCGCTAACAGCAACAGCAAATTACTCCAAAGCGGTGAGACTCAACTTTTTATCCCAATTAAAAAGGGTATTTAGAGAAGCATGTGGATTATGCTTTATCCAGAGGAAACTGTAAAATGTCTCCTCTTTCACTTCTTAATTGCACCAAACCCTCTCTCCTTGTAACGTGAATAAAATTGTCAACCTTATTACAGGCTCCTAAAATAAACAAACATATGGCCATGTTGTTTGATAATCAGTTTTATTTTTGTATCAACTATAAATGATACAGAGATACAACATATTTGAATTTCATGAAACATTAATCTGATAAGTTTAATATTCAGAGTTTACTTCTTGAATGACTTAATTTTACTTTTCCACAAAGTCAAATAAATTAATGTATATACTGTGTAATTTTTACTGTCACCATTGATTAGTTCTGCTGTCTCCCACCCTGCATATCTAATTGTAATAATGAAGCTTCATTCTTGAGTTGAAAACCACTGACACGACATTTGCATTTACATTTTTGAAATGAAACATCCCAGCTGATTAGGTTGAAAATATCTTCTTATAAAATGTTCTTATTAAAATCTGTATTAAAGCTAAATTTGAAGCTGGAGTCGATACTGATGAACCGCATGGTAAATTGAAGATACTATATGTGTTGTAAAATACATTATATCGTATAAAGGTGCATTCCGTAACTTTTCCGCTTTTCTGGAGATGTTATTGCTTGCTGTTTCACAATATGGCATTAAGTATTTCTAACCAATAAAACTACATGTAATTAAATAAATGCAAGGTTGATCTGTTTGATGTCATATTGTGGAACATTTGAAGCAGAGCCACGACATATTCATAGAAACAAGATGGTTACAGACCTCCACTGAAAAGTGACATAGAGCACCTTTAATACAGAAATACTTGAAGTTCTCTGTATTAGACTTTTACAGCAATTAATCATATGTTCATTAAAAACAGTGAGAAATAAATTGATATTTTGTTTTGAATTGTTAATCGCTGTGGTAACTGTCCTAATTTTCATCATTCTGAGGCCCATGGATTGGAACAGAGTTTGACATTTCAGTACTGTACCAATACTGAGATGTGCAGTCCTTGTTGTGTTGTGCAGGTTCACTGTATCTTGGACGTGGTTCATGAGGTCCTCCATCATCAGCGGCGTCTGGAGAACATTTGGCAGCACCGAAAAGTTCGACTGCACCAGAGACTGCAGCTGTGTGTGTTTCAGCAGGACGTCCAACAGGTACTCACTGCTGTTTAGACTGAAGCACAACTGGAACAGGTGGAGGAGTGAAACCAGCAAGCACGATTAAGATCTGAGTGGGTATTTTTAGAGATGCTTCGCGTATTATTGTCATTTATGTACAAGTTAAAAAAGTCAAACAAAATCAGGCAGAAATGGGTCAGTAGTCCTTCTTTCTCACAAGGCTAGGATTCACTCTAAACCACAGTGAAGCGTGTAATCTTTTATGCAAGCGTGTAATCAAGTCAGGAGACAACTATGTGTGATAAACTTTGCCCAAACAGAATCACAGATGTTACTTCTGACAAGAAAAGAGGTAAAGTCTAATAGTTTTACTTGCGTAAATTCTGAAGTACATTTTTGGGGAATCTTTTTTACTACAAATATAAATAAGTATAAATATAAATCTGTATAGTAAGAAAACTCTAGTGTTGTATTATTTATGGCTTGTTGAAATGGCAGTGGCAGTAATGATAGCAGTGCAGTTTTATTTTTTTTATACAAATGAGAAAGGCATCACCCCAGATTTCTGAAAGTCTAACTGAATGAAGGGGCTTAAGATCTAATATGTCATTTATAGTTTCTGAAAGTTATTTTTAGCCAGCACTGAGACTGTCATCACCAGTGAAGCAGACAGTTTTCTGTTATTACACTTTTCTTAATGCGATTGTGAGACTGTGAGTAATGCAGCCGGGTGAAATGTGAGGCTCCAGGCTACTGGAAACACACTGGAGCAAAGTCACATTGGGACAATCTGACACTGTCTTTGACTTGAATTATGTGTTATTTTTTTAAACTTGTGGCTCACATACTGTAGGTCACCCATACCAAAAGAGAATTGGTATTCATGGGTTTCAGGGTAGCAATTCTTTCCTGCTTTGGAAGTTTTTGTGAGGACCTTTCCTCATTTGAAATATATAATATTTTGATTGTAATTGCTTAATTGCTATGGTGACAGACAACAGTTGCCATAACTTGTTGGAACCCATAAAAAGGGACCAATTTTGGTCTGTATCGCTGTTTGGATTCAGTCTTGACCAAGAGTTATGATCAGTGTGCAGTTTCCATGTCCATGTGAATGCTACTATGTTTTACGTGAAAACTTTGCATGCTTTAGCCTTAACACTAAAAGTGTATAGTTTGAATTGACATCAGTAATAAATCTGTCCTACAGCTGTTGCTACACTAACCCAAACCATACCCCTATTTTGAAGTCATCTCCTGTATTCAGAGATCTCCTAGCAATACAGTAGCATACAGTATTGACTTTGTAACGGTCCATTGTAATTCAAATCTTTGTGGATGTTTAGTGTAAAAACGTTCCAGGGGAGTTGAAACTGGGCATGAAGCAGACTACAAATCTTGAGATGAATACATAAGTTTGAGTGCCATGCAAACATTTATATCTGTCCCAGGAGGGAAGGAGAGAGGTAGAGACAATGAAACGATTGAATACACAGGGAATAAGAGATCATATCAGAAGGTTATAAATTTATCTGAAAAGAGCTTTGCCAAGTGCAATCGTCATGCATCAGTTTGTATGGGACTCCTGAGACAGACAACCCAGACAAGCCTAAGAGACATAGAGTGAAAGTGAGAATAACTAGCAGGAGAGAGAGCCAGCTAGTAGCAATAGTCTATAAATCACTGCAAACAAGGCTATTCCAGGCTCAGGTTGTAACGCTACAGTATAAATGTGACCCCAGAGGAGAGATGCCGAAGTGAAACCCGGATAGGAGCTTATTAGGTGTGCCGTTTTATTTGGCAGATGGACCAGCTGCATTCATGCTACAGTCCACTCTGACCTCACATTGACCTCTCAACTCTCTGCGTGGCAACAGCAGCACTGACTTCACTACACTGAGGTCATAGATTACAACACGTTTAAAGCCATAAGATGTTTTTCCTTAAAAGCCCACAAATCAGTCCAGAAGATGGTGGGGTAGTGCCTTTTTATAAGAAGATTGTTTTTGAGGCAATGCAGAACTCTGATGAATTATTAGTAAGATAATTTATTATAAATGCTTCAATTAGACCAAATCGGCCTGAGGTTAAAATCTGTCAATGGGATTCATCTCTCAAGATAGAGCCAAAACATGCATGAAAATATATTTGAGTGTACAAATCAACCATAGCATAATAGTCACTGGCAGTTATGATGAATGGTACAAATTCATGTGCTGGTGACTGAGTTTGTTGAAGGTTTGACAGTGACTGGAAAAGACAGATTTTTGTCTGTTGTGGTCAGTGTCTTTGCCTTCCACAGTATGGCATTTAAATTGTCTGTTTGTTTGTTTTTGATGACAGGTGTTTTTATTGCTGAGTAATACATTCTTCTCACTGTGAGTGGGCTAGCCTCTCCACAGTCCTGTTTGTGTCTATGAGATGTATACATTTAATCCTATAGTGTAAAGACAAGCAGGTGGTGTGCCATACACCATAAAGGTTTCCGGGTACACCTTTACTTTGATCCATGGAAGGATCAAAGGCCTGGGTTGGCCATTACTTGTGGGGGTGCCTGTTGTCCCCAACTGTTGACGCAAATATAGTGCACATTTCCATTTCCTCATGGGACAATAAACTTAACAAATACAAATTCCATAAATTGTCAGATATCAAAAATAGTACATAGTGTAGGAGGTTGCATATTAGACAAGTTTCCTTAATGTATAATACATGTATATGAAATGTATGATAAGCAAAAGGCAACTTTGTATTGGTCTCCCCATCAATTCTTCAGGTTCTTTGATAGGCGTCTAATACAGTATTAATCCTTCTGAGCAGCTGTGACCTAATTTCTCAGACCTGATCATGAAGGTTTCATCTGCCCCATTCTTAATTCATGAGGCTAGAGACCATTTTGTACAGCAGTGTAGATGTGAGCTGTCAGGAGCACAGGGCAGCGACGTGGGTGCTAATCATAGTCTCTTTTCTTGTGCAGGTAATGGACTGGATCGAGAACCACGGGGAGGCCTTCCTCAGTAAGCACACTGGAGTGGGCAAGTCCCTCCACCGAGCGAGGGCCCTCCAGAAGAGACACGATGACTTTGAGGATGTTGCACAGGTGAGTCCATTATCATATATATGTTCAAATTGATAGTCATTTTAATTTAACCTTAATATATCTCTGAAAATGATCGAACTGTAGAGAAAAAGGAAGTTTGTGGGCCAGTTCAATGTGTTAATGTCTAATTTAAGTGTCTTATGTTTATTTATTTAATTTAAATAAAGTGAAAAGGAATTTCTATAGTTGTTCTGTATGGTGTGCTAGGTAACAAATGTTGGTAAAACACCAAGAGGCAAATTGTTTAATGTTTTGGTTTGTGATCATTATTACAAAAAATGTTTTAGTAACGCTCTGTTGTGTTTCATGAACTATTGTGTTCAGTCCAAAACAAAACCTTGTTCCAAACATGAACATTGAAATGACTATGTTGTGTATCAAACGCCTGTGCCGGCCTCAAACACATCTGCTAGTGATCAGCTTTGATTAATCCCAAATTTTCAAAGCCTCCTCCTGCCCGGTAGTGGCAAGTCTCATCATATGAGGTATGCCTCTGCATAACCATTTATGGTCATAAGCCTTTCCTGAAAGATCTGCAAAAGATGTTATCTTTCCCACAAGCATTTACTTATTTGATACACCTTTTATCAAAGCCAAATCTTAAGTGTGAGTGTTGCGTGTGCTCTGGTAAAGACTATAAAACAATATGATATATGAGCAAAGATCTCGGCGAGCTCAAAATAACAGTCATCCCAAGCACTCCCCATGTGAAATGTGAAAGAATGTTGTGTTCTTGTTTTAATAAAACTTAGATTCAAGATTAATACTAGAACCTGTATAAAGCTACAGAGAAACCACTAAGAATATTACATAGCAATGTGACAAGGTTGCTTCTCGTATTCTATTATGACCACGTTTCAATCAGCACAGTGCCCCCACCCAGTCATGCAGTAAATAGTGATAATCTCTTGTGTTTTTAATCTTTATCTACCACTTAATCCTTTCAGCCATTCAACTGTAAATCTTCTCTTTGTAATTTGTATTCTTGTATAATGAGAATGGAAGTGGTATCTTTTTCATCATCTATCATCCACAGTCATTCCACAAATATTTGCCCTTAACGGTAAAGATAATACTTACTGCATTGAATGAATAATCCACAAGCACAAACACAGAAGCCCTTTGTGAAGATTTTTATATTTCATGTGGCAGAGCATATCCTACTATTGCATTTATTCACATTATTTGCTATTCGAGCATACATACAGATGTGCAGATTCTTATATATTGATATTATTCTGTAGTTAAGCAGAACACATTGATGATTTATATATTTTAATGTCATAGTTGTAGCTCATGGACACATTTTATGGCAAATAGTAGTAACATCTAAATCATTGTGGGTGTCTTTTTCATTTAGAATACATATACCAATGCAGACAAGCTGTTGGAGGCAGCAGAGCAGTTGGCTCAGACTGGAGAGTGTGATCCTGAGGAGATCTATAAAGCCGCCCGACACTTAGAGGTCCGAATCCAGGACTTTGTTCGACGAGTGGAGCACAGGAAGCTGTTGCTCGATATGTCTGTCTCCTTCCACACACACACCAAAGAGGTAAGGGACACACACAGCCAAAATCACAATATAGAGAAGTTGTAATACTATTTTTGCCTTTGTTCATCTAGGACTGTCACAATATTTACTATATTCACTTATCGTTCAATATATGATGGATGAGCAATATGTGTTCAGGCTTGATATTTATTATGCATACTTTTTCTTTTTACTAGAGGGGAACCTTTACTTACATTAATGTTTATTAAGCCTATGTTATAAAATTTGAGTTGTAGATGAATAATGAACCTCATCAACATTATAGATCAGATGTCTATAACCATTTTCCGGTTAGCTACCTTTACTAAACAAAAATGCCTGAGAGGTATTTTAGCGTTCACAATAAATTGAGTAAATATAAGAACAATAGCAAGCCTTAGATGCCTAGAAAACATAAACAGTTATCCATTTATTAGTGTACAAACTTAGTCATCATAGTGATACATTTACAGTGATAATAGGCATTTAATTAATCAAATTTGAGTTATTCTGCATAATAGTATATTTCAGAAATCCCTTGGCAGGCTTACTTGTAAGAGAGTGGAGAGTTAATGGTAGCTCCCAAGTTACATGTTGGAGACCCCATTGTACCATTTATTTATGCAAAAGGGTTTGCAGAGACTATGCTGCTTTTGAGTTATTGTAACAATGCTACAGAGTAGTTTTAATATTATGTCATACTTCTTCCTGAAGCAATATGTCAAACTTCAAAATAAGTTCATCACAGGCTGTTTGTTGTGTTTGTAGCTGTGGTCATGGATGGAGGAGCTACAGAAGCAGCTGCTGGATGACGTGTGCTGTGATTCAGTGGACTCTGTTCAGACTTTGATCCAACAGTTTCAGCAGCAGCAGACCGCTACACTGGAGGCTACACTCAATGTCATCAAAGAGGGAGAGGAGTTAATACAGCAGCTCAGGTAATGTTTTACCACGGTTCAAATAGGCAAGATGAGCAGATATTGAATTCTATTGTCAAACTCCGGTACTCCAGCTCCTTCAGGTTTTACACATATTCCTCTGCATTTAAAATATTAGCTGAGTTTAGAGTCCATTTAATTTACATTTTGTCGTCCTTTAGGTTAGTCCTGGTGCTGAACAAGTATAGCAATTATGTAGTCACATAGAATAGTCTTGTTTTAAAGCTAGATTTCCATTTTACTTGGTGTCAGAGGTTTCAGAACCACTGGCCTAAATTATTCCAAAAATGCCCTGCTCTAAGTGTGGCACGATAAAGTCTTAGACACCCTTATATACTATCATGTCTGTTGGGAGTGGGACCCCATTCCCCCATTCTGCACCATTGATTGTGGTGTAATGTCTCCCTCTGTCTCTCCCTGCACAGAGATGCAGCCATGTCCACCAATAAAACACCACACTGCAGTTCCATTGCACACATCCAGGGGGTGCTGCAGCAGCTGGATGAGGCCCAGGGTCAGATGGAGGAGCTATTCCATGAGCGCAAAATCAAACTGGACATCTTCTTACAATTACGCATCTTTGAGCAGTACACAATTGAGGTGAGAAGCATTTCTTAGTACATTGACACCACCTGTCTAATATTGGTGGTCTCAATGCTACTACTAGAAAAACAAAAGGCTTCATTTGTTTAAAATGTATTCTTAAGTGTTGTGCTGCATTGTTAGAGGTTTTAGTAGAGATAGCCTATACTTTATTAATTATGTGTATATGCTAGGTTACAAACAGGATCAAATCACAGATGTCACATTGAGGAAAAGTAGTATTGACAGTAAGAGCTTTCTGTTGTAAAATACAAGTTCAGAGGCCTAGTTACATATATGTTAAAACATTTTGTTGTGCATTTTTTGTACTTTAAAAAACTATGTAATCAAGATGGAAAAAATATTTTGGCTCCACTTTGGGAGTATTACTTTATCACATTTACAATCTGAAAGTCACCAGTATCCCAACAGATAAATATATTTTGCTGTTGCAGGTGACTTCAGAATTAGATGCCTGGAATGAGGACCTGTCCCGGCAGCTGAGTGATGGGGGCCGCTCTGGTGGGGGAAGTGGCAGCAGCAGTGGGGGGAGCAGCGCCTCCTCTGGCAGCTCAGAGGACATCGCTCTGGCTGAACAGAGACTCAAACGACATGCGGAAAGAAAGGCCGCAATGAATAACATGACGTACGAAGTGATGCAACAAGGCCAAGATCTGCACCAATACATCATGGAGGTCCAGGCTTCAGGTAATACAATATAGATAAAGTTTATATGTTATAAAGTTGTAATTGCTCACACACAAGCTAATTTAGTTATTTTTAGGGCATATTCCACACTGAACCAGAGACACTAATTGAAACATATGAAATGGACTAGAAGAGTAAAGCAGATATGTTTTCAGTGTTATTCCAAAGAACAGCATGTAGTGTGGAGTAAAAAGAGATAAGTAATCACCACAAATCCTCTTAAAGATGTCATAGATTTAGACAAAGGTCCCCTAGGCTGTGGCCATTCTGTCCCCTCGTCTGGAACATCAGTATAGCTATGTTAGTAGTAAATCTTTAAATCTTGAAGCGAATATATAGTCAATGTTATTTTAATTTTAAAACTTAACCTTTGTGCCCTATTGTGCATGTTTTGGTGTTAGGGATTGAGTTGACTGGAGAGAAGGATATGGACTTGGCTGCTCAGGTTCAGGAGCTGCTGGAGTTTCTTCATGAGAAACAGCAGGAGGTGGATCTCAGTGCTCAACACAATCACACAAGGCTGGAGCAGAGCTTACAACTGCGCCACCTACAGGCCGAAGTCAAACAGGTACATTTGGATTTATATGGTCCACAGGTGAGGAAGAGGATTTATGTGTGTATGGACTCTAAATACAGGGCATCATCTCTTGCTGGATTTTGCTTTGAAGTAGGAAAAACTGGAAATTTCTCTTTTCTTCTGTGATTGCTTTGGTTTTGCACCCAAGCTGACAATGAGCTAAATCTTTAAATGGATTAGTTACACATATTGGCTGGACTTCAATAGAAACAATGAAAGTGACTGTGGAGAGCCTCTTGTGGAAGAATGTCAACACCCGCTCTGCCGGTCTGATTCTGATGGGGCAAAGATGTGTTGTGCCTCTTTTTTTAAGAAGCTGTTGCAGCTGTGAATATAAATGTGCTGAGGGCTGGAACAGGAAGCAGACTGCAGCTTGAGATGGAGAAATCTAAATTATTAATGAGACCTATGGCAACAGGGTAATGCAGCTTGTACAGCAGAATAAAATCTTCACCCCTATTTTTTATTTCAAAGGCATGTTTGTTTTTTGAAGCTGGCAGGTCTACCATATGGGTTAATTATGAAAGTTTGAAATCCTATATTATTGACTTTGAAGTGCCTGTTAATCATTTTCCAATATAAAATAATGCTTACTACTAGATTCTGACTCATTCATGGTTTAGTTCTTGTTAAGTCCTAGTTTCTAGCGCTTCTGGTCTAGTTTTATGATTTATGCAGTTTTATTTCTGGTCCTATATAGGGCCTAGTCTACAGATGGTGGTAGTTGATGTGAAAAGTTCAATCATTTCTGGTCTTAAATATTCTCTTCTTGTTTTTCCTATTTGACTAGGTGCTGGGTTGGATCCGTAATGGGGAGTCCATGCTCAATGCCAGTATGGTGAATGCCAGCTCCCTATCAGAGGCTGAGCAGCTGCAGAGGGAGCACGAGCAGTTCCAGATGGCTATTGAGGTACATACGACCCAATTATTTCTGCTCCAAACAGACCCACTGTACTCTGCTATTAATGATTTCAGTATGTTTGAATAGTAGCAGATGGGTGTACGCACTAATACACGTCACACATCTTATATGAACCAGAGTAGATCTATAATTATATCACATTGTATTGATTTTGAAAAGACGCAGATGCTATTTGCAACATGGTGTATTCTCTGTGGGTAACATACAATCTGCACAAATGTTTAATTTGAATGCAAATTAATCATTTAAATTGCCTTGACTACTTTATTTTATGGTAACGTAAAATGCAAAGCTGTAAGCAGAACATATTGGAAAACATTGCCCAAATGACATTTGGTCTTCTAAATGTTGAGTGTGTGTAATCACTTTCATTAAGAAAACCCTATCAGTCAGCATTGTAACAAACAAATGCATGGTCCTGGCTCTGGCCCAGCGTCTGCATTTTGGCCTGAATTCAACTCCAGTGAGACTCCGATTGGATTGAGAGTGTCCCGACATGAGGCGCAGCCTGCATACTTTATTAGAATGATGTAATACAGCATTAGCTAATGCACTGGACACACACAAGACCATTACTCCAACTGTCTTTATGTAATTGAGTTCAGTTTTATATTCAACAGTGAAATACTAACACTCCGACCCAAGAATTAATGCCAGTTTGAGATAACCAGTATAATAAACCCTTTCCTTTAATGACTTACACTTTAATTACATTTTCACAATACTTAAAAGTGTGAGATTAATAAATTGAATAATATTATTTGCTAAGATGAAAAGCAGTTCATGTAGCTTGTATTTATAAACTTGCCACCCTTTCTTGCAGTCTCTTTTTCATGCCAATTCTCTTCAAAAGACTCATCAAAGTGCCCTGCAAGTTCAGCAAAAAGCAGAGGTAAATTACGTTAGTTTTTAGTGTGATATGTGATATGACTTTGACACTGTGACTCAGCTTTCCTTGTCTACTGCAGATGATGCTCCAGGCAGGTCACTACGATCCAGAGGCCATTAGGAACTGTGCAGAGAAAGTGGCAGTGCACTGGCAGCAGCTGATGCTTAAGATGGAAGACCGCCTCAAACTGGTCAATGCATCTGTGGCCTTTTACAAGACTTCTGAACAGGTTTGTGAAGTTTGCAAAATTTGGCAAAATAAGTTTGCCAGACTGCAAGACTGTTTCAAGTTCAATTTGCATAAATAAACTAAAGGGAAATATTTTTTACCATAGCGTCAGGATGTGGTACCATTATTCAAAGCTGAAGACAGCTGAAAAGGCTCAAAGTCATAAGATTAATATAGGGCAAGTAACCCAATAGGGTTTTGAATTATATAAAAAATATGATACATTTTCAGAGCCAATCAATAATGAAAGCAAAAAATGATAAAGTTGAATATTTGTGGATCAATGGATCCAAAAATGGGAGATTCAAAAACAGTGAATCGCCTATAAAGTAGGTCCCTGCCCACCATCTGAAATTATGATGAAATTGAAGAGCATGATCACAATCTATAAGCATCTTATACATTTGTGTTCAGGTTTGTAGTGTGCTGGAAAGTTTGGAACAGGAATATCGGCGTGATGAGGATTGGTGCGCCACCCATGAGAAATTAGGAGCTACAACAGAGACGGACCATCTACTTCCTCTGATCAGCAAACACCTGGAGCAAAAAGAAGCATTTCTCAAGGTGAGATTACACCAGAACACACTAAAAACAAGTTTTAATGAATCAGCGACCATGAAAGTATAAACATTGGCTCAGTATGGCTAATACTGTTTCATGGGAGAGAACTGGCAGTAATTAGATTACTTCGTTATCGACAATGTAGTGCCATTAGTAGCGCCGTTATTCCCAACACTGACGGTACCAGTTGTGAACAATGCATGACCCTTTGGGCTCATCTTGTGCACTGTTTTGTCAATGTCTGTGATTTTGTGTCCCAGGCGTGTACTCTGGCTCGGAGGAACGCAGAGGTGTTTCTGAAGTACATTCACAGGAACAATGTGAGTATGTCCGGGGCTGCCAGCCACGCCAGAGGACCTGAACAGCAGGTCAAAGGTGAGAAGAGAACACAATTTTTACACCTGTACTCCCAGCATGCACCTGGTGATTAATGTCCTATAAATCCTGCTGTCTACTAGTGACTCATTATTGTGTATTTATACTGAATGCTGTATCAAGGGAAAATAATGTGTTGCATTACATTTGTGGCCGAACAGTTATCCCAGTTGCTTTGAATTAACATGCATTCACAACACAGTTTATACATTGTGCTGCAGTGTAGTGCAGTAGGTTTAGTGTCTGTCCAAAAACATGAAGCTCAGTAAAAACTGGCACCTTGTTTTTGATAACTTTTGCAAAAAGCCTTCGTCAGATCATTTCTTTTGCTTTGGACCACCAACACGTGCTTTCACCAGAACATATTTTTATCGTATATGCACACATACATTGGGCATGGTTTCTGATGATGGAAAGTGGTTTTCAGAGGTCAAAATATATATATACATATTATGGAAGTATTATGAAGTGACTAGTCTAGTAGCTTATGAATTACTGCAGCCCAATAGACAATATAAATGTAGTTTTTGAGGATACAACATTTTTCATTGACTATTTATTGCAAAATTACTGGCTCAGGCTATGTGTTGACAAGGCTAATATAATGTCCCTTTGGTGTTTGTAGCCATTCTGAATGAACTGCTGCAGAGAGAAAACAGAGTTCTGCACTTCTGGACACTGAAGAAACGCCGGTTGGACCAGTGTCAACAGTTTGTGATGTTTGAACGCAGTGCCAAGCAGGTTAGCATATCTACATGTGTCATAGCAGAGTAGAATCACAGATGCTCTGTTATGGCTTTTGGGAGAAGTGATAGATTAAAAGGACATCTGTTTTATTTTAGTAACAGACAATGAAGAAAAGGGTGTTGCTATTGGAAACTATCTTGTGTGTTTGTGTAGGCTCTGGACTGGATTCAGGAGACAGGTGAAGTTTACCTGGCCTCCCATACGTCACCTGGAGACAGTAGTGAGGAAACACAGCAGTTACTCAATGACTATCATCACTTCAGACTGTCTGCCAAGGTACAGGATCGATAATATAAGGGAAAATATGCCATTACAAAAGTTGAATTGAAGTAAAATAGTTTATTTTATTTTGGTTTATAAATTAATATGTTGTATTAGCCAAATAATTTTACCCTGTGCCCAATGATATTGAATACAGATTTCACACAGAATTAAATCTGTAATTAAGGGAACATTCACACTTGCATCATCCATTCAAAATTGATGAACAAGAAACTAAACTTCATTTACAACAGGAATTTCATCAAACCAAATCTACTACTGGTTCCAACTCAGGACTAAATTAGATCTAAGTACCAGTAGTCATTCTCCTAGTAAGTATAGTCAAATATGATGACGTATGGATGTATGTATGGATGGATGGATGGATTACTATTTAAAATTGAATTTCCATACCCCTAAATTATACTAACACAAAGAAGGGAGAAATAATATTTAGAATAATTTCTATCATTGTTTTACAGCAAACCAAAGAGAAAGTAAAGCTGCTGATCCAGTTGGCTGATAATTTAGTGGAGAAAGGTCATGCTCATGTGTCGGAACTGAAGAGATGGGTGAGCACTGTGGACCGCCGGTACAGAGATTTCTCCATCAGGATGGCCAAGTACCAGGAGAGCCTCGAGAAGAGTTTGGGGGTCAGCTCAGAGGTACTATCAAATGCTGAATTATGGCATGAATATAGATCTAAAATTATAAACAAACAAGGTTGAACTCAAATTTGGGGATTTTTATTTATTATTTTATTTGTTGTTGTATTTTCTGTGACAGGATACTAAAGACTTGGAGCTTGACATTATTCCTGCCAGCTTAACGGATAATGCTGAGGTCAAACTGCGCGACCCCAACCATGAGGTCAATGAGGAGAAAAGGAAGTCAGCCAGAAAAAAGGAGTAAGCACCTAGTATTTTGGTTTAAGATTGATTTATGGACGTTCTATTGCAAAAAACAGAATGAAAAATATGTTTTCATCAATAACTTTTTAAGGTTCATCATGGCTGAGCTGCTGCAGACAGAGAAGTCCTATGTCAAAGATCTTCAAGACTGCTTAGAAGTAACTGTGCCTTTGAGTTTTGTGATTATATTTTCCATTTATTATCATGTGTGATTTTACTTATGTGTGTGGTATCCCTAACAGACATATCTGTGGGAGATGACCAGTGGGGTAGAGGAAATCCCTCCAGGCATTGCCAACAAGGAGCACATTATTTTTGGAAACATGCAGGAGATCTACGACTTCCACAGCAAGTAAGACCACAGTTCAGTGTCATCTGTCAGAAAGACTACTCACTGAACTTTAACCTTGTGTGTTATAACTATTTCCACTTTAGTTCTATTATGGCAAATAAAATATATCATGAGCTTTATTGAACTTTAAATATTTAGACATAAGACATTGTTCCAACACTGTGAAGTTTATGTTACTGTTTCTGTTTTAGTATTTTCCTGAAGGAGCTCATAAATTATGAACAGCTTCCAGAGGATGTTGGTCATTGCTTTGTTACCTGGGTAAGTGCCTGATAATATATGATAAGTGCATAAAATAACACCTGTGTGACTGAAAGTTCAAGTCCCTTATTCAATTATCCATCCTCTCTTTTTACCCTCCATTAAAGTCTCTATCATAAAGTCTTGCTGTTAATTTCTTGTTTAATTATGTTTGCAGGCTGATAAATTTCACATATATGTCGATTACTGTAAGAACAAGCCAGACTCCAGTCAACTGGTACTGGAGCACGCTGGCACCTTTTTTGATGTAAGTAATCACTTTTGGGTCATTTCAATGAGCAGTCAGTAGATGGAGCTGTTTAGCTTGGTGAAGATTTGACAAAAGTCTTAATGTTTATTCTGTGTTTTCACGCTGAATCTTCCTTTTTATTTTTCACTAATTGTTTGAGCAGGAAATTCAGCAAAGACGTGGACTGGCTAACTCCATTAACTCCTACCTCATCAAGCCAGTCCAGAGAATCACTAAGTACCAACTGCTGCTGAAGGAGTTACTGTCGTGTTGTGAAGAGGGTAAAGGAGAGATCAAAGATGGTCTAGAGGTCATGCTGGGTGTACCAAAGAGAGCTAATGATGCCATGCATCTGGCTATGCTGGAGGGTGAGTCCAGTGCGGGCATTAGCTCTAACAGGATGTGGACAGCAGAGACAACCTGTGTCTTCTCCACAGGGTTTGAGGACAGTGTGGAGGCTCAAGGGGAGCTCATTCTTCAGGACAGTTTCCAGGTTTGGGATCCTCGCTCTCTGATCAGGAAGGGACGAGATCGACATCTCTTTCTTTTTGAGTTTTCATTGGTCTTCAGTAAAGAGATCAAGGACACAGCTGGACGGACAAAGTACCAGTACAAAAACAGACTACTGGTGGGTGTGGTGTCACTTTTAGCTAATATGCACTATTCACTTTATCTTCACTGTCTATTTGTGTCTTTTAGACATCTGAGTTGGGGATAACCGAACACATTGAAGGAGACCCATGTAAATTTGCTCTCTGGTCAGGAAGAACCCCATCTTCTGATAACAAAACTGTGCTAAAGGCATGGATGCTTTTTTTTTAAGTAGAATAAAATATTAATCTTTGCACTTTCTGCACAGAAATATGCAATAATCTTGTTTTTATGTCTGCAGGCCTCTACTATAGAAGCAAAGCAAGAGTGGATAAAGAACATCAGGGAGGTGATCCAGGAGAGGATGACCCTGAAGGGAGCACTGAAGGAGCCTCTGCACTTGCCCAAAACACCAGCACTAAGCAAACCCAGAAACAAGAGGTGACTGAGGGCAAGATAAAAGTTATACAAGTAGTTTTTATAAATATTATAAATACTTTCTAAAAAAGGGGAAAAAATGTTTCTGCACATAGAGCACACTAACTGTCCTAGTATGATGTGTTATCCAGGCAGTTCAAACTGTTCTCAATTTATTTGTGTTTGCACTATGATAACACAAATGTTTCTGTGTGTGTTTAGGGAGGGAGTAGAAGATGGAGACAGTCAAGGGGACGGCAGCAGCCAGCCAGACACCATCTCCATCGCCTCTAGGACATCCCAGAACACGGTGGACAGCGACAAGGTAAAGCCCGCCACTCCCCTTTCTGCCAGCAGGGGTCAGGTGACTGCTGTGAACCTGATGGGCTAATGAGCTACAGTTGTGTTGGTGTCACAGGGTTTCCCATGCAGTTAGAATGGTGAGGAGCAGGGCCACCACTTCATACACTGTTGACACCCCTCTCAAGGGATAGATGGTTATCTCTTTACATTACTACTCAAATTATGCATAGCTGTGACTACTGGCACCAACTGTAGTGTCACAATAGAAAAAGCAGCTATGAAAACCTTCTTCACAATGTGTGCTGGGGTCTGTCGGGACCCTTCCTACAAGACAGCCAGTCGCATCCAAGTAAGCATTAATTTATTTTGTTTTTAGATTAATTACAAATTAATAGGAATCATTTTTACTTTTGCTTCACAGCTTGGGGTGTGATACAATTGACACAATCAAACAATAATAAATGGCTCCCCTTAATTCAGATTAGTAATTCATAAATTCAAATAATGTGTTGTGCTTTTTAGTTAAACATAGATTGATTGTACCCAAGAACAGTACTGGAAAGTAAATTTTTCAGTTATCTACCATTTCCTACAAGTTTGTTCATTAGAGATTGCAACCTGCATTCTCAATGTTTTGGATGCAATTTTACTGCTGGTATAGTTGTTCCCAATGTATGTTCAGCATTGTGTGCAAGTGTAAGAAATACTACACCATGATAGACACACATCCACTTCTGTCATAATGACCTCCCACTCCAGTGTTACACAGTGTGGCCTTTTTACTCAAAGCCCCACGCCCACACTGCCCAGTCTGGAAATGTCACCCATACAAGGAAACTTCATCTGCATCAATGCCTCAAATCAACAGGGCTTGTTTGTCCATTCATTGAGTCCATGCAACCACATTATATTTTTGCATGTTCCAAAAAAAAAAAAAAAAAATAATATATATATATATATATATATATAGAGAGAGAGAGAGAGAGAGAGTGTGTGTGTGTTTTTTTTTTGTTTTTTTTACTATGTTATAGTATAGTATATTTATAAGGAATTGTTTTTTCTATCTGTCTCAATCTATTGTGGATGTGAAGCTCATGTAGATCTAATGTGTCTGTTTGTGATCTCCTCTTCACTTCTCTTCTGTCATGCCTGCTAAGTTTTCGTGTGCCTTTAATGTGCCTCATATAGTGCCTAATAATGTTGCTACAGACTCAGATGTTCCACTCTGGTCTGTGGAGGTGCAGTGGAAAAGCTGCTGTTTTGGTGGTTTCTGAGGACTTATGTGTGATGTTAACTTGCCCAGGATGAATGGGTCGTTCTAGCTCTATTAAGGCCACTGTCTAAACACAAAAAGATATAAAAATATATTGTAAAATATATATAACTTTTCTAGTGGCTGTTCCCACCGTTTTTAAAGATACCTCAAATTGACTCTTGAGCTTTTAGGTATGTTAGAACATTGTTACCTCGTCAAAAACATATCTGGAGTTGTTTTGTTTCATTCACACATGTTTTAGTAAACCTTTAGTATTGGTCTGTTTACATCCCCAAAGCCCAAAATGCTCAGTTCCACCTTATGATGTCATTTAGTGGTAGTTTTCAAGTTAACAACTACCCTTTACCTTTAGTTCAGTCGAGGTTGGCAATTCCAGGGCTAAAATTATCCAAATGATTCTGGTGAAGCTGTATGGAATTTAAAAACACACTGTATTGCCACATGACATCACAAGGTGGGACAGAGTTTTTTGTATTCAGAATAAGTCTAAATATGTAGGGTTTGTGTGCTAAACAAGAATGAAACAAAACACAACTCCAGGTAGGTTTTTGATGAGGGAACAACAGTACAAGTATGGTATAGCTCATGAAATGTCATGATAAAAAGCCCCAGAGCAGTTTAAGGCTGCTCTTCTTGTTTTGCCAGCGCAGTGCTTCTTAAATGGTGTTTTGAGCTTGTTGTTGCTGGTATAATAATGTGTTTCTACATTTATCCTGAGCAGAGTTTGGGTAAATATCTTGGTTCACTCTCCCTGACTTTGAGCTGAAGCTTTATAAATATGTTGTTTTCTGTGACATTTTGAAGCAGTATATCTTTACCATGACGTCTGTGTAATGATTCAGTGCGGTGCCGCCTGTGGTCCAATTGTTATTTAGAGACGGATTCCAGTGGGTGACAAGTTGGCAGCCATTTTGACTCCACCACATTAGTGTAGTTTTTTTGGTGCTTGTGCCAATGTAGAGAAAAGATGTTTTTTGCTCTGTAGGCCAGACGCCATAAAACCTGCTAGCACTCTGGTCATGTACGTCTGGCTCGATCAAAAGTTTTTTAAATCATTGCAGACTGAAGGAGAGGGGCCAAGCAGCAGTTAAGCACATTGTATCTGTTTTGTCTTGATGAGTGAAAGCGAACCCAGACAGGAGTGACAGACCGGGTCACGCAATAGTTTTCTAATCTATATACAGTACATAAACTATTCTAATAATTCAACAATATTGCATGATTAAATTGTATTTGTTCTGTTCAAATATTTGTATTTTATTCTTCCATATTTTGCTTGTTTTTACTTTTAAGGGTCCCATGTTACGTGGAATTGACTCTTTTGAGCTTTAGACCATGTTATAATAATGTTACCTCATCGAAAACATACCTGGAGTTATGTTTTGTTTCATTGAGTCACAGGTGTTTAAGTAATCCTAAATTATTAATCTTGAAAGCTCAAAATGCTCTGTTTCACCTCGTGATGTCATAAAGTGGTAGTTTTGAAGTGAACAGGAACCCTTTACCTATCGTTCAGTTGAGACTGGCAATTCAGTTGAGACTGGCAATTCCAGGGCTGAAATTATCCTAATGATCTAGTAAAGGTGTATGGAGTTTAAAAACAAAGTCGAGCACTTCCTGTATTACTACATTATATAACAAGGTGAAACAGTATTTTCTTCTTAAGAGAAGACTCAGCCTAAATATGCAGTTAAACATGTGTGAATGAAACAACACAACTCTGGGTATGTGATGAGGAAACAACATAACACAGATCAGAAAATGGCATAATATGGGCTCTTTAAGGGGGAAAAGGGAAGGAAGGAATATTTATGCCACATATGATGACATGATTCAAAAGTCTCCTAATGTAATAATCAAGTTGAGATCCAATATACTACCGTAACAAGGTGCTGGCAATGCAAGCAGCATTGTTTTAGTATGGAATTTTCACATACCTCAAAACTCAATGTTCCCTTTTATGTCTGCTCAAGTCCAGACCTTGTATTATGCCATTACTAGATAGAGCAGATGAATTTGATGGAAGTAGCAAGCTGGATCGCGTTACAGTAAATATGCACCACTTTGTCTCTGTTGTTGAACCTTCACATTTACAGTCATTTAAGAACATACAGTACATTGTACATACAGCTGATTTGACATGTGCTTTCTCTCTGTCAAATGTATCCTTCATAATGTAGCCATACAGTCAGCATCTGCGGATCATATGACATCTGCCCTGGCTTTGGAGCACGCTGTAGTGGTTGAGCGCCCTGCCTGTCCCATGCACACAACTGCACACACAACTACACACTGTTCCCATGCAACCCAAAACTGGGGCTGTTTGTTCAGAGCGTGGAGAGAGAGTGAGGGCGTGTGTGCGTGTGTGCGTGTGTGCGTGTTTGTGTGTTTGTGTGCTTGTGTGTTTGTGTGTGTGGCGGACGCACAAATGAGGGAGTTGTCAAAGAGCAAGGCAGAGACACAGGCAGAGGGACACTGAGGATCACAGGAGACATGTCCAAGTGGATGAGCTTTAAGTTGTTCAAAGAGAGCAGTCGTGTGAGTATCCATTCACTATTACTGCAGTAGTTTCTGTCAAGTAGTTCTAATACTGTCACTCGGGTTGGGACACAATTGTGCAACTTTTGTCAGGGTACTATAACTATAAGTGGCTCCCTTTGCACTTTGCTTGTTTTGTTAGATTGCAACTATGAAGCGATTTATGGCTCTGTTGTGTCCTTTTTTCTATAAGGTAAACTACAAAATACATTGACTTGTCATTGGACAAAAATTTTGTCATCTGATGAAAAACAAGTAGTGCGTGCCATTTAGTGGTGCTATGATTATATGTTGTCATTTTGTTAACTTTGCTGTCTTGAGTTCTATGACAACTTGATTAAAGAATAACTAGAGCAGTGAGTGAGCTGTCAAGACTACTTAAGATGGTGCAATAGTGACCTTGCTTATACAACTTTATTCTGCATTTGCCTCTTGAGTTTTAGTTTAGAACATGTTGGCTTGGTATACTTTAGTTTCCATTGCTTCAGGTACTAACACAAATGCTTAAGCAGCTCATATGTGTTATGCTGACTTTTACTTACCGTGTTGTCAAGCTGCACGGTGTTATAGTGAAGATTAATGGTTAAACAGCAGTGAGTGTGCCAGGCAGACAGACAGACAGAGAAACAGGAAACTGGTGATTAGCTGCCACACAGTTGTGCTGAGTGTCCAAGCGACACAGCACAGGACAGCTATGGGGCGATGTTTAATTTTGGTTTGCAATTGAAACATTTTGACATTTTTTGCTTGGAAATATAAAACAAGACCTTCTCATCATGCATTCACTCAACTGTGACTGCATGGTATTACTGTCAATATAGTGACTGTGTTTCATAACGACCCTGGTTTAAGCAGTTGGAAGTACACTCGCAGTGAATTTTAGATTTGTTTTTAATATGAATACCTTTTTTTGTTTGTGCTACTTGTCCATAATCACATGTTTAAAGTTTAACACACGTGGTTAAAATTTCAAGTAACTTCTATTATTTTGAAAGTGGAGTCGAGCTTGAAGTTGGTTAGCAAATGAACATCATGTGGGCATTGTCAAATTGTTGCTCATGTACTGCCACTGTTGGGAAGGTTACTTTTAAAATGTATTCCCCTACAGATTACAGATTACATACCCAAAAATGTAGTTTGTAATGTAATCCATTAAATTACTTAAAGTGAGTAACGTAATCTGAATACTTTGGATTACTTGATTTGCT